TTCCAAAGTCGGAGCCCACCTGACCACCAGCCTCCAGACAGGTAAAATCCTGCCTGACAGCAGAAGACAGGGTCATAGGCTCATCCCTAACTGCTGTGTGATCTTGGGCAAGCCACTTAACATCTCTGAGTCTGAGTTTGTATATGCATAATACGCTAGTACCCTCCTAGAGGCTAAGATCTAGGTGACTTTGGCACTTTGAACGAGGGCTCACCCCAGGAGCAGTTCAGCTGACGTACAAGATCTCACCTATTACACAGAGAGGTAAGCACCTTGCCCAGTGTCACCCAGCCAGAAATAGGTCTGGGCTGGCTGGGCGTGAGCATGCAGACCCCAGGGAGCTGATAGAGGTCCTGGGCGCTCACCTCCACACACTCAGGAAGCTTCTGGAGGCCCAGTTCTGCCCCTGGCTAAGTGGAGCCCCTCAGCAGGGAGGGAAAATGCCAGGTAGACACTTCTGAGCTTGTAAACAGTCATTAAGACACTAATAAACCTGATTTCCCAGAACCTTGCCCTGCGGCTCCCTGCTTCCCAGGGAAGAGGCTGGTCCTAGCCCCAGTGGCTGCCAGGGCTTCAGGACACTTGGCTACCAGCCCGCCAAGTTGCTTGTCCCAAGCAGGCCTGCAAAGCCACCTACTCATGCCCTGTACCTTGCTTTGGGGCAGCGTGGTGCATTCTCTTGCTGAAGAATGAGGAGGGATAAGGGGCCAGAGACAGGATGGGACTCAAACCCGCAGTGGCCACCTACCAGCTGTGAGACTTTGGGCAAGTGGGTGCTGCGGAGCCTGCCTCCTCTGCTGAGACGGGGTGATGCCCCACCGTGGAGTGAGCCAGGGAGGACCACCGCAGATATGGATGCGCAGTGCCTGGCACACACCCGGCGCTCAGGTGGAAGCGTCTTTTATTCCTGGCTGAGCTCTGCCACCATCACTCAGTCTCTGAGCCATGAGCCTCACAGGAGACAGATCTCTATTCGACAGGTGGAGAAACTGAGGCTCAGAGAGATGAAGTCACCTGTCCAACGTCCCACAGTTAGGGAGTGGTGGTGCTACAGCCCCAGCCAGGGTCCCGTGGTCTTAACCCCCACACTGCAGCCTCCTGCCAGCCTGGCACTGGTGAGAGGCAGGGGCAAAAGAACGGTGAGGACTCTGAGTGGCTTCGATGCTGGAGTGAGTCCCACGTGCGAAGTCCTTTGATTCATGAAGGGACCACACCTAATTCCCTGGGCAGCACTGCCCGGCTTGGCAAAGGACTTCCACAAACATGATCTCATTTAGTTGAGGCTGAGGGCGAGAGGTAGCTGTCATCCTCCTCACAGGCTGGCAAGGTCCGAAGGGGCTTAGGCCCAGGTTCGAACTCCTGTTCCCACTCCAAACCCCACAGCAGATCCCAACCCTCCTCTTCCAGATCTGCTTATGGCTACATGGAGCTGACAACCTGGCGAGATCCACTGGGAGAGGGAAAAGGGTTTCTTGCCAGAGACCAGGGGCAAAAAAGCCATCCCCGCAGCACCTGCTGGCACAGGGCTGGGGCCACATGGGGAGGCAGAGGAGGAAACCGAGACTCAGACAGCGTGCCTGGTTCCCAGCCTCAGGAACCTCCACCAGGAAGGTACGGCTGAGGGGCACCAACTCCGTGACCTGTCCTCCACTCCAGCGTCAGTGACAGACATACTGGCAGGCCAGGAAACCCCCAGCAGAGGTCAGCAGTTCATGCCCAGATAGAAAGCCACCCTCATTTCCCTTGGCCACCAAGGCACTGAGGTCCCCCTACCCCAGACACAGCCACTCCTACAAAATAACAGTAATAGCAGCAGTGCTACTGCTCCTATGTGTGCTCCTGTCTAGTCCTTGACAGCCCGCGAGGCAGGGCCTCAGCCATCTCCCACGTCTGTGCCATGGACTAGCAGCCACGCCCCTACCTGAAGCCACCTAATACCATTATCATGACGGCTCCCCTCACTGCTCCTGCCATGGCCGGGCACTGCACTGAAGGCTGCACACAAATCGCCACTGGAGTCCTCACCTCACACAACCCTCCAGGTAGACTACTGTTAGTGACCCCACTGTGCAGCTGGGGAAACTGAGGCACGGGCTGTTTAAGTGACCCCATCCTACTGAGCACACACACAGACAACTGTGCCCCTGGACGCTGGCCCAGCTCCCGAAGTTTGGAATCCCTCTGCATCCTTTCTGCTGGTCACAAGGTGACCCTCGCAGTCCACACAGTGTCTCTGATTGGCCCACCTCCTGCACTGCCCACTTGGCTGAAACCACTTTCCTGGAGAAGCTGGGCACCGGGGCTGGAACTGCCTTCCAGCGGCATTTGGACCACAAACTACTCCCAGCTTGGTGCCCGGATCCATTTACTGAAGTAGGGACTGTGGACACACTGGTGCTTTGTACGTCCCTGAAGATGAGCTTTCCTTTACACCTATCCAGGTCTCCTAGGGAGGCAAAACGACTTTCCAGGCAGGCTTGGTTTCCCTGTGAAGCCACCCATGCCCTGAGCGCTGTCCCTGCCCAGCCGCCACAATGCCGAGGTCAGCCTGCACTTGGGCAGGGCAGATGTCCCCACCACTCCTCCCCCAGCCTGGCTCAGCTGGATAGGAAACTGACAGCCAGTGCAGCCGGTCAGATGCGTGAGCTCACTCTGGAAACCCCCTGGGGCGGCAGGGGCAGCGCCGAGGCCTGCTCCAAAGCGCGAGGCACAGGGATCTGAGGGGTGTGCCAGGAGGGTACACGTCTCCCCCGTGCTGTGCCAGCGGCAGGTGGGGACCAGGCCCAAAGGGTAACACCAGGCGGCTCAGCCAGGCCACTCCGACACTCGCAGGCAGGTGTGGACAGCTCCTGGACTTCTGTTGTCATCTGTCACCTTGTCTGGGACAGTTTACACAGCAAGGGGGACAGAAACCCTGGTGGAGAGGCCACCACAGTATCCAGAGCTGAGGCCACAGGAGAAACAGTAGTGACGCCAGAGCATGACTCGGGCCCCAAGTGCGTCACCCAGAGCATTTGTGTGATTTATTCCTCTCCTTCAAGGAACAAAAGGCCCCCTCCTGGGGTGGAGAGGGAGTGAGTGTGTGTCTGTGTGTGTGTGTTTACACCAGGTACAGACAGGTAGGAGTCACTGGGGGTTTGTCTGTGGACTGGGCCTGAGGGTGGGCAGCCGGGTTCACACTTGAACTCCACTGCTGACTTCCTGAACAGCTTCGTACCAGTCTGGGTGCTCAGCCCTGTGCCTCGAGAGGCTCACAGCAGCGGGGCTACTGTTACTGTTTTTTGTGCAAATGAAAAGGTGGGAGTTTCACTTTGGGCTTTTACAGTTGAGAGACCAGGAAAAACAAATCAAAACGCAACCCAGCAACACCAAAGAACCCAAACTCGAACCCTCCACCAGGCAGAGGCCGGGTCCGGAAGTGAACGGGATGGCGGCAGTGGCTACTGCAAGGAAACAGGGAGGGAGGGCAGCGAGGCGGCCCGGCTCCTGGGCACACACGTGGCTGCTTCATCCGATCCTCTCCCACCATGCCAGCCTCCCCTCCTCGTTGCCGGAAGACTGGAAGTGACTTCCTTCAGCCCAATGCAAACAATTCCGAGTCATCCCTACCAGAGGCTACCTGGATTGGGCTTTGATGCTTCCCATCTCTCACCTCTGCTCGGCTAATGCCACGGGCAGGGGTGCCCCCGCCCCACCAGCAGCTGGACCCACTCCAGGGCTTGTCGACTAACCCAGGATGCCCTCTTTATTGCAGGAGAAAGGAGCCAGGGAAGCCCCCAGGAATTAGGAGCTCTGGTGCTCCTTGGATGTCACTTTCAAAAGGTGTAAATAATCCGAGGAGTTAGGTGTGGGTTCAGAAGGGAAAATTCCAGCAGGTCACATGGTATCAGGCACCCATGCCAGCCTCGGCAATCCAGCTTTGGAAAAATCTATGGGAACAGAGTTCACCCTCTGCCCGCCCTCCCAGCGCAGGGATATTTGAGCTCAAGGACCGCCTTGGCCCAGCCTACCTGGGAGACTGCCCTGGGGTTAAGCACTCCAGACCCGGGCTGCGAGAGGGCCCCTGCTCCCAACCCTCCCCCCACCGACAGCATCCCGACCAGCTTCCTGCAGGGCCAGTGGAGATGGGGAAGGCGGTGGCTCTTGGCACCACAGGACTCTCTCGAGGTGAATTTAACTGCCCTCATGCCGCCTTCTCATCTCATTTAGGTTTCTTCCAAGTCCCTCCCCTAACCGCTGGGGAAACAGGTAGTTTCACTGAGGGAGAACCACTGAGAAGGCACCTGACCGAGCAGGTGCCCAGGTGCCGCGCAGGGGTTCTCCGCCTCAGCACAGCACAGCGCCCCGGGCTGGATAATTCCCCGTGGTGGGGGCTGCCCTGGGCACTGAAGGATGTCTGGTGCCATCCCTGCCTCCACCCACGACCTGCCAGTAACAACAACACTCACTTCCCCTCCCAAATGTGTGACACCCAAAATGACTCCAGCATTGCCACATATCCCATGGCAGGCAAAGTCGCCCCCTGTTGAGAAACACGGTTCTAACACGCCCCCCTTTCCACGCCCTGCCCTACAAACAATGACGGTCGAATAAGACAGACGCTAAGTATCCTTATTTTACCAGCAAATGGCACACACTGGGGGCCTGACGCCAGCTGCCCAGGCAACAGCAGCCTCTCCCCAAGTAGGGTCAGCTCCCCCAGCCTCCTGCTCCTCAGATACCCGCTGCCACCCTCTCAGCAGCCCTAACCCTAGAGCCCCCTCGTTAGTCTTTCATGGAGTGGGGCAGGGGCTGAAACCGGGGCTCCCTCTGCGCCCTGGGGTGGAAATGGGGCGGGGTCTGTACCCGAGGGGACTCATCCGTCTCTAACCCCGTGCTCTGCGGGAACATCCGAGGGGCCAAACAGGTAAAAGGCAAGCCCGGGGCCAACGTTCCCCAGCCCCCCATCCAGAAGTCAGGGCTCCTGGGTGAGTCCGGCTCCCCCATCCGCACCCCCGCACCTGTTTTCATCTTGGCTGGGCTCAATCGACAAACTTCGGCCCGGGGCCGCCGGGTGCTCACCCGGGGGAAAGCGGAGGGGAGAGGAGAGTCTGAGCTGCAGGCGCTTCTGGGGCGCAGGCGGGACTACCCGGTCCTGCCCTGCGCAGTCCCCCCCCTTCCTCCGGAGGTTTAAACTTCTGCCCAGTCGTCTTGCCCTCACACCTGGCGCCCCGTTGCCCAGGGACCCCTTAGGCGTCCTGTCAGAGCCGAGCCCAGGGGCCGGCAGACCGGGACCACCGGCCCCGCCGGCGCCGTCCCAGACAGCCCGGGCCTCCGGCCGAGCCCACGTGGGACCCGGGCGCTCCGCAGGGCGGGCACCGGGCACTGGGCACCCTCCCTGGCCGCGCACCGCCGCTCCAGGGCAGGCTGGGGCCCAGCCTCGGGACCTGTCCGGCGCCTGCGGCTGGGTGGCCGTGCGCCCTGCCCGCTCGTCGCCCCGCGCTCACCTCCCTGCGGCCCCAAGTCCCCGGGACGCGGCTCCGAGCGGCGCCTGCCAGCGGCCGGGCGGCGGCTCCTGGGGCGGGGCGGCGGCGCTCCGCCTCTTCCCTACCTGCGCGCGGCCGGCGGGGCGGGGCCCGGACGCGGGCTCGGGCTCCGCCTGCTTCCTGCGTTCCCGCCCCCGCCGGCCACCCGGCTGGGTCATCGCCTGGGCAGATGCCTGTTTTCGCCCGAGCTGGCCTCTTCTGGGCGCCACCCGGGAATTTCCCTCTTGGCGTCTTCCCTCCACCCCGGACCGAGCACGTCATCTAGGTCTGCACTGCAGTCTCCAATCCAGACGCGTCTCTTCTCCCCAGCTCTGGGGCCTCACGGAGGGCACAGGCTGGAAGTGGGGGCAGTGGGCCACAGCTGGGGGTTGCTCCTCATAACAAGTGTAACAAGAAACAGCGCCCAGTCTCCCATCCCCTTCCTCCGGCGCCTTCATCCTCAGGCCAAGTGGGCCTGTTCCCTCGACCCTTTCAGTGTCTCGTCGCACTCTACCCGGAAAGCTGGGCCTGGACCCCGAGGTCTCGCCGCTAGCTCTGCTGTGCCCTTGGGCTGGGAACAGGCACCCCGTGGAGGTCCTATCTGCATTTGCCTTGTAGCTAAGGCCAACATTCGTGACTCCTTCCCCCACCCTCACCCCCGGGAGCATTGACAGGACCCACCCAGCTCTGGCCCTTCCAGCTGCCATGCAGGCCAGAGCCAGACTGGAGATTGGGGACATGGGGACACCTGGCCCCTCTGCTTGGGTCTCTCTGCCCAGGTTGGATCCTTCTCTCTTCCTTGGACTCCAAGGGCCTGACTCGGCCTCCTTCTTGGGACTTGAGACAAACAAAACCTTGGCCAGGGCAGCTAGGACCGAACTCCAAGGTCTGGATGCCCCGTCCTCAGCCCCAGCGCTTATCATCTCGCCGGTCCTGCCTCAGGAGGCCTGGCCAGACCAGGAGGAGCAGAGTTTGAAGAGACTCAGGCTTGGAGGGGTGGGGGTGGGGGTGTCAGGGCAGAGCCAAAATCTCTGGCCCTTAGAGAGCTCCTGAGCCACCCTGCCCCCCAGCCCAGCACTCTGGTGTTTATCGCTGACCTGGGTGGCAGTGGGGAGCGCCTGGCTGCTGGGGATTATTCTTAGAGATGCATCTCTCCTCCCCAGCTCTGGGGCGACCAGGAGGGCACAGGCTGGAAGTAGGGGGCATGGGCCACAGCTGGGGTGTGCTCCTAATCACAAATGTAAGGGACCACATTTATTGTGCAACCAGCATATTCCAGGGTTATGTGCAGAGACGAACAAAACCAGGGTCTGCCCACAAAGTGCCAGCACTCTACAGGGGAGGTGACATGGGGACTCAGTACTGTCACCCGAAGGGTGAGAGCAGCTAGCCTCTCCAAAGTGCTTTTGTCTATTTAACCCGTGGTACGGTTCTAAGAAGTGGCTACCATTATGATCCCCATTTCAGCGGTGAGAAAACGGAGGCAGAGGGTGATGTGAGGGCAGCGGCTGAGGTTTCAACTCACGATCTGACCTTAGAGTCTAACAAACTCGGCTAGAAACGCCCCAGCTGGGTCCTCTCCCCTGGAGCTCTACTGGAAGCTCTGTTGGAGTCCCCAAGAGGGGTGGGATTCATGGTGGTGTTTAAGCCGGTGTCAGGAATTTGTCCCATGCAAGCATGGCGTGCTGCCCGGCCACATAGGTGCAGGGATGCTGAGCTCAGCCTTGGCTGCAGCAACAACGCACACCTGTCAGGCCAGAGAGGGAAGAGCGTTAACTGGGCAGGGGGTATAATTTGGGTTAATGTCATGCAGCTGTTAAAAGCAACTAGGCAGCTATCCATGTACCGATGAGGAATTATCTCCAACTTTTATAAGTTTAAAAAAAGCATGTTGCATTTTAAGTATAATCCCGTTTACCTAAATTTGAATAGAACAGACATATGTATGTTGGTAGATCCACAAAATCTTTCTGGAAGGTTATTTGTGGAGTGACCCTGCAGGGGTTAGGGGAAGACGGGAATTTGCTTGTCATTTTATATCATGTACATATATTACTTTTATAACTTAAACAGACACACTGTCTAAACTCTTTGTGTTTCTTTGTTTGTTTGCTTGCTTTTTTGAAACAGAGTTTTGCTGTCACCCAGGCTGGAGTACAGTCACTGTAGCCTCGACCTCTGGGGCTCAAGTAATCCTCCCACTTCAGCCTCCTGAATAGCTGGGACTACAAGTGCTTGCCATCGTTCCTGGCTGATTAAAAAAAAATTTTTTTTTGTAGAGATGGTGGGGGGGGGGGTGTCTCACTATGTTGCCCATGTTGGCCTTGAACTCCTGGACTCAAGTGATCCTACTTTGGCCTCCCAAAGTGCTGGGATTACACTTTGCATATATTACTTTTATAACTTAAAGAAAAACACTGTTGGCCAGGCGCAGTGGCTTGCCCCTATAATCCCAACACTTTTGGAGGTCTAGGCCAGCAGATCACCTGAGGTCAGAAGTTCCAGACCAGCCTGACCAACATGAAGCAACTCCCTCTCTACTAAAAACACAAAATTAGCCGGGTATGGTGGCACATGCCTGTAATCCCAGCTACTTGGGAGGCTGAGGCAGGAGAATCACTTGAATCTGGGAGGCAGAGGTTGCACTAAGCCGAGATCGCACCATTGCACTCCCGGCTGGGGGACAAGAATGAGATTTCATCTCAAAAAAAAAAGAAAAAAAGAAAAAAGAAAAAGAAAAACCTGTCTAGGCTTTTTTTTTCTTCTTCCTCCCCAGTAGCTGGGATTACAGATGCCCACCACCACACCCGGCTAATTATTGTCGTTTCAGTAGAGATGAGGTTTCACCATGTTGGCCAGGCTGGTCTCAAACTCCTGACCTCATGATCCGCCCACCATGCTTCCCAAAGTGCTAGGCTGGGATTACAGGTGTGAGCCACCGAGCCCGGCCTTGGTGTTTTAGAGACCCACAGGTGTAGGGAAGATCATGACAGACTGGGATGAGGAAAGGGCTTTCTGGTGGGAAGAACAAGGACGAAGACCCAGCCAGGAACCTCTGGCTGTGGTGTGGAAGCTTTTGGTGCTGTCACTTGACCACATCACGGGCTGTGTGAGGAGGAGGACAGGAGAAGCTGGGGAGGCGTGGGGGGACCTCAGGCTGGAGGCTGCTGTGTGTGGGATGAGGGTTTTACTTTATTCTGTAAGCAAGAGGGAGCCATGAGGCATTTTTCTTTTTTCTTTTTCTTTCTTTTTTTGGTTTATTTTGAGCCAATTTTCTTTCTTTCTCTCTTTTTTTTTTTTTGAGATGCAGTCTCGATCTTGTCCCCTAGGCTGGAGTGCAATAGCCCAATATTGGCTCACTGCAACCTCCACCTCCCGGGTTCAAGTGATGCTCCTGCCTCAGCCTCTTGAGTAGCTGGGATTACAGGCGCCCACCACCATGCCCCACTGGTTTTTGTACTTTCAGTAGAGACAGGGTTTTACCATGTTGGCCAGGCTGGTCTCAAACTCGTGACCTCAGGTGATCCACCTGCCTCGGCCTCACTAAGTGCTGGGATTATAGGCATGAGCCAATGTGCTCGGCCAAGGTGTTTTTCAACTAGGAAATTGCACCCTAATATTTTCTGCTTGTGTAGCCTTCTTTAAAACATGCTTTCACAGACACTATTTCATTTATTTATTTATTTATTTTTAAGATGGGGGTTTCACCATGTTGGTCAGGCTGGTCTTGAACTCCCGACCTCAGTTGATCCGCCTGTCTTGGCCTCCAATGTGCTTGGATTACAGGCATGAGCCACCACGCCCGTCCGACACTATTTTATTTATTATTCTTCTTTTGAGAGAGGGTGTCATCCTGTCACCCAGGCTGGAGGGCAGTGGTACAGGGGGATCCCTGTAGCCTCGACCTCCTGAGCTCAAGTGATCCTCCCACCTCAGCCTCCTCAGTAGCTGGGACTACAGGTGTGTGCCACCACACCCAGCTAATTTTGTTTTATTTCTTGTAGAGATGGAGGTCTCACTATGTTGCCCAGGCTGGCCTTGAAATCCTGAACTCAAGTGATCTTCCCGCCTCGGCCTCCAACAGTGCTGGGTTTACAGGCATGAGCCACTGACCCAGCCTATTTTATGTTTAAATCTTAACAACGATTCTGCAGATAGGCAGGTCAGGCTTTACAGCTGAGAACACTGAAGCTGCTATGGAATTCAGACCAGAGACTCAGACTCTGACATTGAGAAGCTTTGGACCTCAGCAAGTACCGCCTTAGAGGAAGGCAGGAGAATGTGCCCCAGAGAGGGACCCATATTGGGAACTGTGGCCCCCTCAGATTCACTTTGTGATCCTCGGAAGCAAAGGGCAGAGGGCCTTGAAGCCTGAGTTAGCGAACTCAGAAAAGCTCCCAAACACACCTTTGAAGGACGCCCTGGTATTTGTTCATGGGAGTAAAATATTAGGGGTCTCTTGGTTAGCTTTCTTCATTTTTAGAATGTGAATGGGCTGGGTGTGGTGGCTCACGCCTGTAATCTTAGCACTTTGGGCGGCCAAGAGGGGGTGGATCACTTGAAGTCGGGAGTTTAAGACCAGCCTGGACAACATGGTGGAACCCCCATCTCTACTAAAAATACAAAAATTGGTTGGGTGTGGCGGTGCATGCCTCTAATCCCAGCTACTTGGGAGGCTGAGGCAGGAGAATCGCTTGAACCTGGAAGTTGGAGTCTGTGGAGAGCTGAGATCGTGCCACTGCACTCCAGCCTGGGCAACAGAGTGAGACTCCATCTTAAAAAAAATAAACAGTGAAGTTCTGTTGAATGAGAGGATGGTGACTTCCTTGTCAAGGTTCAGAGAACTGTAGGACTGTGCCCAGGACAGCAGAGCTGGTGAGCGAGAGCAGGGCTGAGTGCTGGCCCCAAGTCCACACTCTTTCCAGCCATCCCGGCAGACCATTCCCATCTTTCAGAAGGGTCATTCTGGCTGTG